GTGTGATAGCCGCCAGAGACCTCATCAAACAGAGAGAGAGAGAGAGAGAGAGAGAGAGAGAGAGAGAGAGAAAACACTTTTAATGTTACACAAAGTCCTCCTGCAGGGTCCTCCTTGGCTCTTTTTTGACTCTTACAACTAACATTATCTGTTAATCATCACTTTCTGTCAGTCCACAAGCAAGGGGATGCAAGTAAATTATTATGACAGGTGTTTTCTACACGGTAAATTTTTAACCAAGGTGGAAATGCTCTCCAGTGAGGATGAGTGGCTGACTTAATCAGAAGAAATGAGTCTACGTATAACTTGATTTTTGAACCAGCCAGGCTGCCACAATAGCCGTGATGGAGCGAGGCTGCGGAGAGACAAGTCTCTGCAGGAGAGGCAGATCGAAAAAGGCCTCCCACAGGCYGGAGCTCATTTTGTCTGGCTGGAATTACAACAAAACCTGCACTGCCACCAAAGAGAAGAAAATGTCAGACATGGCAAACACACTGGTAGTGATTATCTGCTGTCAATACAACATATCAGAATGCCATTCCACCAGAATGCATAAAAAAATCTAGTGTGTTGATCTACCACTTCAAGAGTAATTCTAGCTTTGGCCACATGCCTTATTCATAATGCATTTAACATGCATACATTTTACAGCGCTTTATGGCTCATTACACAAAGAAATGGAAAATATATTGCAGATGAAAAAAATGCTTTCCTCTTTTGTTGGTGCAACACTGCATGGATTAATTTTCATCTAGCTGTGCTCAACATGTGTTCAGAGCAACTGAAAGCAGTAGCTACTTACATTTTAAATCATGCCAGTAACATAAAAAATAAAAATAAAAAACCCACACCCACCCTTACTTTTTAGCTCCTGCAAACAGCAGCCACTGGCTTTATGTCTAACAGTGCTGTGATTTGAAAAATGCATTGTTATAATGAGTTTTGTGGGAAAAGTGCAGGGTAAACATATGTTTTAATCAAGGTGCACAAGGTGGCTGTAAGATGGAGCATTCCAGGGCATTTGAATTACAATATCAGGTGATTAGAGTGACTCGACTTGATAGCACCTAAAGCAACAACCTTTTTTCACCTCTTTCTCAACAAACAAGATGCAATAATTTGGGCATTCCCGCACAGCACTAAAGACTGTTTGTCACAGAAGCACGTATGTCCTCCTGGCAAAAATAAAAATAAAAATGCAAATAAATCAGAATAATAAAAAAGGAAGACACTGGTAGAAGAAAAATGTTTGATTTGCTCGTTGTATAAATATGAGATATTTTACAACTGCTCTGCATGAACTGAGTTTGGGAGGATAAATGATGGAAGATGAAACAAAAAGCATGACAATGTTGCATTATGAAGTAACGTGTTTCGCAGTCACATTTTGATCTTGATATTTGTGCAAACTTGTTGGCACGTTTAGCATTTTCTCCCCCGGGTCACAAGGGGAAATTCAAAATCTTTTTATGCACAACAGGATTATTCCACCCCAGCGACAATAAAAGAACGTTTGCAGAATCTGTCAAAGGAAAGTTCATGTTTGGAAGACAGTGTTCCAATCTCTTGTTTGATTGAACAATGTACAACAAATTTGATCAAAATTCAACATAAATAAGTGAATTTCACACTTACTTCTGTTCTTTGTTTACTATAAAATATAATGAAAGTTGTCTCCATCTGGTAGATTATTGCAAATGGGAAACTAATATCCAAATGCAGGCAAAGTAAATGAGGTCATGTTGTTGATTAGACAATTGCTGATCATTTACAGTTAATCATATGAGTATGAAAGTGATAGCAAGTGTAAAGTATGAAGTGATATGAAATCAGGCAAGACTCATAATGATGGAGAAATAAGCCTATGGCCACTAAGTGGGCTGTCTGATGAGCTGAGTATCATCTTGCTAATTCATTCAACACATTACTGATTCATTACATTTGCATACGTTTGGTGTGTGTCTTCTTTTCAACCTCGTTTGTGCTGATGTTGTAACCTCACAGGCCATCTGGAGCTTTCAAAACCTGGATGCAGAGGATATTCCTCGGAGAGACAAATAGATGACAAGTCTGTTCTATCTGTGTTTATAATTAGCATAGATTTTGATTGCTGATATTTTTATTAGTGCACATGGAAGTGAAAAAAACAAAATGATTGGATGTTGAAAATCGGGGATGTCAATTTTCCAGTTTTTTTTTCTTTTTCATTTTTTCAGGAAAATGAGGTAAGAATGTCTAACATTGTGCTTAAGGTGCATCTTTCCTAATAAATTGTAAAAGTTAACAAAGACAGTTTTTTTTTCCTTTCTGTCTTTTTAGGGTCTGACCTGCGACTCCATCGACTTGATATATAAAGCTGAAAGCGTCATGATTTTAAAACAAGTTGGATAAAAAACAAATAAAACTGATGCAATTAAAATAATTTTGTTTTCCCAAACAACTTATCAGTCAAATTAATTTTGCCTTTGAAGTGGCAGTTTCAGTCATTTTTGAAGACAAAAAAAATTAGAGTCATTTTCTCAAAAGTGTAACGATTGGGAACAAAAATATTGTCAAACTTCTGACAATCTCACTGGGTTATAAAAATATAAGAAAGATAATCATTTACATACTAAAGGATTTTGAAAATAAATAGCAGCACTACAAAAATATTTGAAAATCAGATCCATTCTCAAACTAACTCACAGCTTACTGTTTCATTGGTATTTTTTTCATTTTTTATTTGTTTATTTTTATTTCATTAACATTTCGCCATAGTGTCAGTGTCAGACCATTTTCTTTAGTAATTTTAAAATTAATGTTAACACAAAAGTCTGATGCATCTGACTAATCCAGGTAGAAAAATCAAAAAAAAAAAAAAGTACGTCCTCTGGACGGGTTCTTCTTTAAAGACAAACCTGTCCAGAGGACCTACTTGTTTTTTTTTCTTTTTGATTAACAAAATAGTGTGTCAGATGAAGACAAAAGGAACATAAAATACAATGAAAGTTAAAGTTCAGCTATAAACATTAGCTGCACATTTGCTGAAACATCTGAACAGTTCTTAAGTTGTTGTTTTTCCACCAATTCCTGTTGCTCCATGTTTCCAAGATTGTTAAAACCAACACAGTTATCATTTCTATAGCTACAGACTATATGTCTGAAGGAACATTTGAGCGGGGGGTGGGGTGGGATGTGGAGTTTTTGGGTGATGGCAACAATCTGGCACAGAGAACCATCATAACTACCCTCCATCACTGACATGGGGACTAGATGTGCTTCACTCTCGACTTGAAATAGAGCAATCCCCCATGTCCATCTTGGCCTCAGTACACTGAATGCTGCTGTTTGAGAAATAAAACCGCAGTAGGAAGCTGCTGGGTGCTGCTGACTTATCAGCAGGAATCTAATTCGTTTTTCACAGGGAAGGAAATTATTGTCCCACTGTTGACAATTCAGGTTTCAGAAAAGCCAAAATTAGGTGCATGAGTACAGATGCTGCCATTACTTTCTAAACTGTTACTGTACATAGGACAAGGTTTTGATTTTGTGTTTGTCAGTGGGGAAAATATATATACTGTATAAAAGTTCACCTTTTACAAAATCAATGATTGTTTTGAAGAGAATGCCA